TTTTAAGATAAACCTCAAAACTTATTCCTGATCTCCAGCTTGATTTAGCTCATAGCAGAGACAAAACATTGCTGGTGTGGGATTGATTAAAAATCTGAAAGTGTGTGGGAATGGCTGAGTTAGACTGAGAAGAAAATGAAAAGGCATCTGGGGATACTTGATGGTGGGTGTGGCACTTGGGGACATGATTTAGGGGTGGGCTTGGCAGTGCTGGGTTAATGCTTGGACTCAATGATATTAAAGGTTTTTTCTCCAATCTAAAGAATTCAGGTCAATGCCATTGTGAAATTCCATCAAGTGGTCAGGATTTAGGAAGCTTTCTCTAGGGGGAGCATGCCATGAAAATTAAGGGGTGGTGGAAGGTGAAATGAACCTGGGGAGGGTGAGTTTGGTCATAGCCCAGGCTGGGTCTCCACATTTGCTGGGGTGATCCAGGCTTAGCCCTATCCTTGCCTCCCCATGATGGAGCTTGTACCCTGATAATTGCAATGAAAGCAGCAATCAGGTTGGTAATTTTGCTGAGCTCTTTTCAGTTCTAATTAACGTTATTCATTTCTTGTGTGTCCTGCTGGGTTGAGACAATCTGTGCTCTCCAGCCCAGCCCTCTGGAACACCAGCAATCTGCATAAGAGGCAACAAAAAAGTGTTGTGTGCCAATTACTACACTTCAGTAATTAAAAACCTCCTTCCCCCCACTGCCTGCCCACCTCCTCTCCTGTCATTTTTTTTGTGTGCAAACTCAAGAAAGCAAGGAGAGAAATTCAGGAGGGCACGCCACTGCTGGTGTGTGCCATCTGTGTCTGCTCTGGAGCCTCAGCGAGGTGCTGGGGGCTGGATGTGGCACGGGGGGGATCAGTGGTCAGGGAACTCAGCGTCAGCACCCTGCTGCTTGTTTATTCCTGGTGCTTGTTTGTGAGGCTGTTCTGTCCCCACTGATGGCTTTGCTGGCATTTTCAGCCCAGCTCATCTTTGTGCTCGTTGGCAGAATCCTTGTGGTGTTGCTTTCCCTCTTCCAATTTGTCTTTGTGTGCTGTCCCTGCAGCCAGGTGAGCTGGGGGCTGCACCTGTGGGGCCCTTTGGCTGCATGAGCTCAGCTGTGGGAATGTTTGGGAATACCAGTTTGGGGAAAAGGGGCCAGTTCCTACCGGACTAACTTGATAGAGGAGAGTGGATAACAAAGCCTGGAAGTTTTGGCTGTGGGAGATGTTGACAGATGTGAAGGGGCAGCACCAGCCTGTATCCCTTTGCACCCACCACACATCATTGACTGGGGAGTGCACGGCAAGGGATGAGCAGGGGGGTTGGGACAGGTGGGGAGGATGGAGATTTGCAGCTCTCACCTTTGCTCAGTGTGTGTGACTGTCTAAAAATGCCCGAATTTTGAGGTGGCCTCGGAGGCCGCAGGGAGCAGAGGGTCTGGTGCAGCATGAGGAGATGCATCTCCCTACAAACCATCCCTGCCTGCCCCAGGATGGTGTAGTGGTGAGTTAGGAAGTGTTCCCATCTCCCAGAGGAGAAACCCCGAGGCTTGGGACTCTGGGTTTATTGGGAAAGAAAGAGCACAGAGAGGCAGCAGTACCCAGAGCAGTATCATCTCCACCTTGTGCTGGCACACAGCAGTTTTTCATCTTCCTGGAGGAGAAGTCCTTGCTATCTGAGCAGGAGTGGAACAAGGATTAAGGATCTTGAGAGACAAAATTACCTCATCTGTGCTTAATTGTTTTTAGATCATCTTTTTGGAGGCAAGCAGTGCTTTCCGGCACCCCAAGGACCTCTCGCTCCCCTCCTTCCCTGGCACAGCATGGGCTGAGAGGGAAAGTGAGAGCTTCCAGCGAGGTGGAGGAGGCATCCCAGGGCTTTGCACTTTGCCAGGAGCAGGGTGGGAAGAGGGGAGGTTGTGGGCTCGGTGGTGGCTTTGCTCTCCACCTGCGCCTGGAGCGTGGCTTCCTGGCCAAAGCCAAAGGCTTTCCGCTCTGCTGCCCGTGTGTGGGAGAGGAGCTTCCCATCCCTGCACGGGGCTGGGGAGAGAGGAGCTGCTGGAAGAGGGAAGGAGGAGCAGATGGAGAGGCTGGAAGAGCATCAGGTCGCTGTGATGAGCCTCGGGCACGGGGACCCCGACCGGTGCTTGTGCGAGGAGGAGCAGGAGGAGCAGGAGGAGCAGGAGGAGCACAGCGCTTGGAAGCAGCTCAGGAAGGAGCACAACTGCCAATCCCTAAATAGCCCAGCGCTTCCAGAGGTCAAAGCACCTCTTTCCCAGGAGCTGCTGCTGTGCTTTATATTATATATACACACATATATATATATACAGGCTCAGGAGCTTAAAGAAGCAGGGAAGAATATCAAGTAACAGCTTGAAGCTTGCTGATCCCAGGGACAGGGAAGCGTGTCTGGGTGATAAGGAGAGATTGTGCCCGGGTGCTGTGAAGGGCGAAAGCACTTATTTCACTGCTGCCTCATGCGTTACCTGAGCCCCGTTGCTTTTCAAAAGCACTTAAATGCCCATATGATAGAGGGAATGCTTGGATTGCACACTGTCTGGCTCCATTATTATCCAAGGATCTCCAAGCTGATGCATTTCATAAAGAAAACTGGCGTGGAGGAGGAGGAGAGAGGAAATACATATTTTTAGTTCAGCCTGCTTACAGCTCCTCAAGGTAACGTCTGGTTGAGAAATTCAAGTCACATCTGGTTTCTCATCATCCAGCCCTGGACACCTCTGTGTTTGTGCAGAACCACCACCACAGGAGCCTATTTCATGGTACCAGAGCCGAGCACCAAATAACCACTTCATTTCATTCGTGCCCCATAGGTCTGAACTACCAGCAGAGCTGAGATTTGGAGTTCAATAGACTAAACCCATCCTCTGGGAAGAAATCTCCAGTTTAATTCAACTTGTGCAACTGAACTCTCAGGCCTTTTACTCAAGTTGTAATGCAGCTGAGAACAAGAGCCAAGTTCTTGGTGTTCAGCCCAGACTGAATCTATTGCTTTTTTTTAATGTAGATCATAAAAATCTGCTCACATTTAATTTATTATTATCGTAATATCATTATGGAACAGTAGTAAAATCGTTTAATTTATTGGCTGTTTTTCACACCAGAGAGGGAGGATGGAGCAGGTGTTGGGTACTGGCAAATCAGGGGTGTCCTGTGCTGCAGACAACACATCTCACCTTGGGCACATCTCCTCTGTCACCTCTAGCCTCCAAAAGTTGTGTGTTGAGGCTGGGTGGGTTATTTTGGCTTCTCCTGTAATTGCTGGGGCCAAAGAGGTTCCAAAAAGAGGCTGAATGAGGTGAGGCAACTTGTCCCCAGGTGGGTACCTGTGTCTTCCCTGGCGTCAGTAATGGACACAGGAAGAGAAGTCTCCCATCACAGAATCATTAAGGTTGGAAAAGCCTCTAAGATCAGTCCAACCATTCCCTGTCAGGTCCTCCACTAACCCATGTCCCAAGTGCCACATCTGCGTGGCTTTTAGATCCCTCCAGTGACTCCAGCACTGCCCTGGGCAGCCTGTGGCAGGGCTTGGCCACCCTTTCAGTGAAGAAATATTCCCTAATATTTAATCTCAACCTTTCCTGGTACAACTTGATGTCCTTTCCTCATGTCCTATCACTTGTTACCTTGGAGAAAAGGTAATTCCCTACCTAAAGCAGGCTATAAGGACCCCCAGTAAGGAGACAGCTCACCCAGAGAAAGGACACGTTCCCCAAAGTGTCCATGAGCAACAGATACACCCATCCTTGCCTTTCCCTCCCCTGTTAGTGCAGTCTGGCACATGGAGTCCATTAAGTCCCTTACATTTCTTGAAGTCACCCTGAGTGAGACATCCCACAATCTGCCGGGCTCCCTCTTGGTGCCTCTGAGTTAATTTGCATCCCAGCCACTGCACAAGTAATGAAGTAGCTTGGGGAAGAATATGAACAGTGGATCTTAGGCTGAGTGGTTTTATGCAGGGACATTATGGTCTAGAGCCAGCATCCTGCAAAGCTTGGGTAAATCTTGATGACTCTGTAGTCCCAAAATTTCTCAGAGAGAAGCAGGGGTTTAGTTGGCTGTGGGGGCTGCAGGTTTCTGTTTAGAGAAGGTCTGGATGCTTGTCTGGAGATGATTTGTGGCAATGGGAGGATCCAAACATGGTTTGGGGACATGGGGATGGGGGGGTTACAGGGCTGGCAGAAACCTTTGGGAGGAGCAAGACTGATCCCAGCTAATGTTGACAGGAAAATAATCTCCTTCAGGATCAAAAATAATTTCTAAGTTTGCACTGTATTGTCTCCAGGGAGAACTCAGGGGCTAATGGAGGTTGAATATAGAGGATTTCTACCTCCAAAACATCCCTGGATAAGTGAAATGCTCCGCTGGGGTGAGGTGCACAAGCGAGGTGCAGCAGTGCAGGTGATGAGTATGGAAGGAAAAGTTGACAGAGAGGACAAATGGTTGGATGCTCAAGGTTTCTCTTTAGAGGTGTGTGTCAGAGCTGGCTTTCTCCAAAGATAAATTTCCTTTGTGAAGCAGCACAAGCTTTCTTAGCACCACTTTGCATTTCTTTGTGTGGCTGAAGGGATGTGAAGGTCTGTGGAGAGATTGACAAGTGATGGATTTGGGCAGGAAGTGACAACCTGCACCCCCCAAAAAAGTGTAGACTCGGGATGGAGGTTTGGGCTCAGCTCTGTTTGTCTGGGAGTTTGCAAAAGAATGAATTGGAATGGAGGAGTGAAAGGCTGGTACTGGGTGGCTCTGACCTCCCTGTGTCTGGAAACTTTGTGAAGCTGTTGGTCAGATCTCTGGAGCTGTGGGTTTGGATGGATATCCGTGCCCTGAGCACCGCAGGGAGAATGCTGACCTTGTCCTCTTGGACACTGAAAGCACTCGGTCTCTGAAAATGCTGCTGACAGCAAAGCTAAAAATAGTGCCAGGAGGACCAGGAGGGCTGGAAGGGAGGGAGGGAGAGCGCCCAAGAGCAGCTCACTGATGGGTCACCTCTCTGCCTCTCCCCAGGTGCTCCGTGGACAACCGGGTGACCCGAGTGGCCTGGCTGAACCGCAGCAGCATCCTCTATGCCGGCAATGACAAGTGGTGCTTGGACCCTCGGGTGGTGCTCCTGGCCAACACCAAAACCCAGTACAGCATCCAGATCCACGACGTGGATGTGTACGATGAGGGCCCCTACACCTGCTCCGTACAGACAGACAATCACCCCAAGACATCGCGTGTCCATCTCATCGTGCAAGGTAAGAAGAAGGGAGTCTGTGGAGGGGTTGGGCTTGTGAATTTGCTTTCTGGTCCTTTTGCCCTGGTGTCTTCTCCTCCCATTGCTCCTGTGTTGAGCATGTGACACAGCTTGGTGCAGAAGTCGAGGCTGATCCACTCTTGGATCGTCCCAAGCTGGGTAATGATTTCCACAGAATCAGAGAACTTGCTGAGTTGGAAGGGACCCACCCACAAGGATCACAGAGTCCAACTCCTTGCCCTGCACAGCACCATCCCCAAAAGTCACACCATGTGTCCCAAGGTATTCTCCAAATGCTTCTTGAACTCTCTCAGGCTTGACATAATCCCAGGTCTGATACAGGCAGCTCTGCCTCCCAGCACAGTCTTTGGCAAACCCATGGTGCTGTTTGTTGTTGTTGTTTTTTGATGTTTTTGTTTTCCAAGCTGGAGGCAGTGCTTGAAGTAAAACTTGTGTTGGGGGAAAAAAGAGAGCTGGCAGATTTGTGTGCTTTGTGGGGGTGTGTGTATGCCTAGCAACAAAATGTGTTTGTGTATTGAAATTCCTTATTTTGGAGGAGGAAGAGGAGGAGAAAGACCAGCACAAGGTGCTGGAGCATTTTTGGTGGCTAAATGGGTGCCTACATGTGCTCTTCAGCAAGTGTGTGAGCACACACAGCTCCTCGAGAGGGGGCAGGCAGGTGTGGCCACATGTGATGGTCAAGCAGATGGACATTCATGAAAGATAGATCCTGTGTCCATGTGGCAGGACAAGAACTGGACAAGGGGGAGCCTCGTGGAGGGATATACAGTGCTTGATGAGCTCTTAGCCTGGGGGAAGATTAATGGAGAATTTTTAATCCCTTGCTAGCAACAGTTTTTTTTTCCTGCTGCTTCTTCTGTGATTTGTCCAGGAGCCCTCTTAACATGACACACCAGCTTGAGTATTGGAATCTCGTCTCGGGCTAATTTTCGAATGCTGATGGGTGTATTGATTTGGAAACAAGCTGGGTTAAAAAGGCATTGGTCTTGTACACAAAGTCGGGTTGAGCTAATCCGCCGTCGATATTCCAAGCCTGAGCACTATTGACAGCCTAATGAATAGAAGTGGGGAAAAAACCCAGACTCGGGGCCTTTATTTTTCCTCTTCCCTCCCTTTTCATTTTCCTTTTCCTCTTTGAGCAATCAAGCTGACTAACCAGAGCCAGACTTTCTCCATCTCCATTAAGCGTGGAGGGGAAGCGGATGCATTGCCAGCCCTGGTTCTGGCTGTTTATCTTGCAATCTCTTATTACCTGCCTGAGTTTCTTAAGCCAAAGTCGATCACCAGCAAGTTCTAAAGTCGCTATCAGATGCTGGGCTGATGCAGGACAATTTCTATCTGTTCTCTTCTGATTCTTGTTTCCTGACCTAAATTTCCTGTATCACCAGACATCCAGGCCCATCCCTCCTGTGTCTTGCTGTATCATTAGGAAGAGATATTTGGGTACTGCAGGAAAAGGTCAGAGCTTAACTCCTTGCAGCAGTTAAGTACGGGATGAGTCAGTGATGGGCCCAGTCCTGTAATGTGCTCAAGATCCTCGTGCTGCTGGGCAGAAATTCCAGCTCTAGAGATCGAGCCCCCTAATTTGAAGAGCTGTTCTTTGGCTCACCCAGGCCTTTCTCAGAGCAGGACATGAAAGTGAATTATCATGTCCAATTAAAGGGAAACCTGCCTTAATGACCTCCATGAAAATTGGACTGGGGTGCCAGGATTAACTCTCCTGCCTTGGAAAATGGGCCCTATAAATATGTATTCAGGAATAATCTTGCTCAAAACGACATTCAGCTTGTGGGAAGTGGTGCTTATTCCCCCTCCTAGGAAAGCAGGGTGGCTCAGCACCAGATTTTAGGGATGTGCCAAGTTCAGCACATGGCCCTGGGACATTTTGCCCCTTTCTGCAGCCTGATAGGAAAGGAGAGGTGATGTGAGGTAGTGGGAAAGGAGGTTTCTCCTAGGTTTAACCAGGAAAGGGAAGGTGTGCAGGTTGCTCTAAGCAGATCCTGAGTTTCCCCTTAGTGCACCAGGAAAGGGCCTGGGGGCACAGCTCTGGAGGCAGGAGCACTGCAGCCTCTCAGGATGCAATTAAATCATACCCCGGGGCAGGCAGTGCTCTCCAAAGGGACTGGCTGCCAGGGGAGGGGGAACAAGGAGCTCTTCCCTTTCCTGCCAGGATTGAAGCAGCCTGCTGCTCCCCCAGGCAAACAGGATGGGTGCATATCAGCCAGCCCCAGACACTCTGAGCCCCTGCCTGCATCCCTCCTCCTCTCCAGATTTAGGGGATATCGCTGGGAACAGCCACGGGTGGAGGGCATCCGTGGTTTTGGCCAAGGGCTGCTGGAGGGAAGCAGAGCTATGGGAGGGGGAGAGCAAAAAACAGGAGAGGAAGAAGGATATTCCTTCAGGGTACAAGGGTCAGGAAGGATCCCCAAGGAGAGATTTGGGTAGAAACACCTGGAACTGAGGATTCCCACACTGCAGCAAGAGGTGAGCTGCACATTTATTTCTAGGTTGGCTCTATTGGATGGCCGAGATCCCAAAATAGGTGGGGAGAAGGAACCTCAAGAGCTAATTTATCCTGTCCCCCTGCAACCAGGCAGAGACCTCGCTGCCAAGCACATGTGAAAGCTATTCTTGAAAATCTTTAACAAAGCAGGTTCTTCAGTCTCCCCAGACAATCTATTCTACTGCTTTGCTACCTTTTTAATTAGAAAATGTATAGCTAATATCTAACTTAAACCTTCTTTGTTGCAAACGAAGTGGAGTTTTTCTCAGCCTATTCCCAGTGGATGTGGGGAACAATTGATCAGTGTCCTCTGTAATAACCTTTTGCTTTTGGGAAGGTTGTTATCCTGGTGCCCCTTAGCCGCCTTCTTTCTGAAACTATCTAAGCTCTGCTTTTCCCACCTTTCCTCATTGGCCAGGCTTTCAGAAACACTTGTCAGTCTTGAAATCCTGGTACAAAAGGGAAAAGGTGATTGCTGCTGATCCAGGAATAGCAGGTCGGTGCCTCTGTGCTGATGTGGGACAAATGAGCTCAGGAACGAGACTACAGACCCCTGGCACCCAATGCACCAAAGTTCAGACCTGCTATTTTGGGGGCTGCTCTAAGTGGGGTCAGGCTGGTGGTGCCAAGCTGATGTCAGCCAACAACAGAGCTGCCAAAGGGACAAGGAGGTTCTTAGCACCTGGATCTCTCCTGGAAAAATGTGCCTAAATTACAGGCAGAGCTAAAATGAGCAGCTCAGGGAGCATCCCTGTCATCTGCAGGGTCTCAAGGTGTTCCCACTCCTTCAGTACTCATTCCTTCTTGGGAGGAGTTGCTGTAAGACCAGACAAAGCACCAAAAAGCAGCACTACCTGTGTCTGCAGAAATCTGCTTTGGACCTTGGGGAGAGTGAGATGTTTTTGGGAGTAAATCCCAAAGAGACAAAATCCAAGGAAGCCCCACTCGCAATAGGCAGGCTGTGAACTTGGAGTGGGGCAGAAACCCAGAGAAAGAGGATTTAGGTCCCACTGACCTCCGAGGAGCAATGCTTTTCCTTCCTCTCCTCTCCTGTATCCCACTCTGCTTTCCTCAGCAACTCCTACTTCTTGCAGCAGCATCTCAGGCACAGCGTCCCCCTCCTCCCTGCTCCCTGCAGGACATTTCAGCTATTTAAGTCATTCTCCGGGTTCCTGGGTTTAAAGGAGAGAGGGGAGGTAGGAGGAGAAGGACGATATCTGAAAAGCTGTTATTTGTATTGATAATAAGCCGTCTCCAATGCGTGCCTGCAAAACACTCCCCCTGCCTTGTAAGATGCATTAAGGGAAGTTGGCCTTATCTCAGTGCGGGAAATGGACTTGGGGAAGGAGGCACGGAGCCTGCCAGAGTTTAATCTCACTTAGGCACACGAATTTGCATGATAGAAAATGGTAGAATTTTAGTGCTTAAAAAGAAAGAAAGAAAGGGGAAAAAAATAAAAGGCAAAAGCAGGCAACTGGGGGATATTAGCGCTTTCCCTGCTTCTTTATCAGTTTCCCTGGCCCTATCTGGCTCTTGCTGTTGTCACTGGAGCAACTAATCACCCCTCCCCTTTTGTTTGGTGTAAATGAGTTTTCCCCACTCCTTCCGGAGCCCCAGGTTAATCTTCAAATCCTTGCCTTTGTCTCGGAGTTAATTACCTGCTCGGAGGAGTCGGGGGGCTGTGGACACAGGTGGCAGGGGGTGGCGGGGGGCAGAGGTGGCAGTGCCGGTGGCACCTGTCCCCGCACGGGGAGCAGCACTGCCAAGGGCTGTGCCGGCGAGATAAAGCCACCGGTGGGGCTCGGTGCCCCAGCCGGCTTTGTTTCATCCGCCAAACTCTGCCCAATTAATTTTCCTTTGATGCCACAAGCCCCTTCCACTCATGGGACAACAAGAAGAACGTTTTGTCGCTGTTGTGCTGCCTGGGTGCCTGGGAAATGCCTTTGCTGGGAGGAAGGCTCAGTTCCTGTGGTCACCATCACCTTACCTGTGGGGCTGAGCCTGTGCCACCAATGCCACGAGTTCTGGGAGCAAGGAGGGAAAAGGGATTTGCCCACCAGTGGCAGAGGATGGGCAGACAATGGTCACGTTTGGAGCCATGAGTTTCACACTGGGGAAGATGCTCCCCCTGCTTCTGGAATGGATTTACTGGTGTGTCCACGCATTTCCCCCCGTGGGAGAAGCTATTCCTTCCAGAAGCAAAAGCAGGTTTAGATAATAACTCCTAAAAGGCATGGGGGAGCTGGGAGAGCCTCCCCAAAGCGGTGGAAGGGAGGAAACCAGCAGCACGAAATGGAAATCCTCCCTCCCTCACTTCGCCTGCACTCTCGGCTCCTTTGACTGATGTATTCCTTGCCCGTCTCTCTTTTGTTGCTAATCACCGTCCCTCTGTCAAAGCATCCTTGCCTTTTGTAGCAGGGCTGTTGTGGAGGACTGAAGGTCTCCCACACGCTCTCACGCACTGGCCTAGTTTTTGG